TAATATTTCTTAAGTAAGAAGTAATTTAGAAAGTGAATTAGTCTTTAGGAAGACGAAATAATCTTGCTTTCTTAAAAATGAAAAAACGAAACAAAAAAAGTAATTTAACATAATTATTAAATTTAGTACGTATATCTCGTATGTATGAAACTCTAATACTTAAAGACAAATACAAATTTTACATACGAACATTTTTTACAAGAACATTACATAATTCGGAAAACACCGAGATTTTGAATTTATATTGAAATTAGTTACTAAAATAATAGAACTAAAAGTATATAAACATTTACCTTGTCATTGGTTTGCTATTTTAAGTTAATGTTATTGCTTTCACTTTAAACAATTTTAGTTCTGCAGAAACTAAATATACAGATTTGAATCAGTCTATTCAGGGAAATACAAGTCTCAGTTTAAAAATTTCTTCGCCAAATCTCTTAAAAGCTCGTAAATCCGTCTTCTGCAGTCGTTAACTCTCAATCAGTCCATTTAGCATACGATCTAAACAAATCCAATTATATTCCCTTCCCTAACGAGGCATCAAGCGAATTCTGTCGACAAATCGATCGACAGACGTAGCGAAAATAGCTTCGTCGTGCTATTTATGCAAGAATGGTTGCAATGTAAAAAGAAAACAACGACGGCGACAACTAGACAGAACAAGTTACTAAGGTAGAAAATAATTAGACGATCTGTACAAAAGTAATTAGGAGAAAGCAAGATCGAGAAATTGTTTCGAGATATAGACTGATTATCATCTTAATTCAGAAGGAATGAAAAATTAAACATCTATGAAAAACATTTTTCTATAATGAATTTTCAAATCTGTAAATAATTCTTATAATTGTATAAATATAAATATAATAAATTTAAAAAGATATACGTAATATAATTATTTTATACATATAAAAAATATATATAAATTTAAGATATAAATTAAAAAAATTTTTGCAATTAAAACTCCATTTATTTGATGTTTACTTATTAGAACGAAATTTTCTACTATTTCAGTATATTTGTCTAAATATAAATTTTTATTATACATATAATAGAATAAAAAAAGAATTTATAGAAGAAAAATCATAAATATAGGAGAAAATTATTAAATTTGTATGAACTATTTGATGATATAACTACTGTAACTATTCGATGAATTTGTCGACAAGTTCAGATAGACGAAAATTATAAATTATGTCAATCGACAAAACCTTTCATTACATAATTAATAATAAGTAACAATGCATAATAACAGTACCTAAGTAACAATAAGTATAGAAATTATTAGATTAAACATTGAACGAAATTTATAAATTTCTGCAATTAAATAAAATCTATTATAATACATATTAGGCTACGATTGTACTGGCTATATATTCTGACGCTTTCTCGTTTCTGTGACGTTTGTATTACACAAAATAAACTTGGACAACTTTTATTAAGAATTTAATTAATAAAAAAAAAAAAAATTGTAAACAAAGAAACAAATTTTTTAAAAATTTTCAAAAGAGAAGAGTATCAAATATTATATTTTATACGTGGATTTGTTTCAATCCTAAAATATTTTTCCTAAATGTAATTAAAAAAACATTTAATTTGCAATAAAATTTTCAGAATTGCAGATGTGCTTTGCTGAAATCTGTTCTTAGAGTAATTGAATGAAAAATTAAACTGATTTGTGATAACTCGTATACAAACTCGCATGGACGATATTGGACGATTAATATACAATTGATAAAGTGTTCCACTTATATTCTGTTCGTTACTTTTGATATTCTTTTAGAGAAAGTTTAAATATTAATTAAAAATTAAATGAATTGTTGATTCGTGGCAGTTTGAAATTTGTATTCGAGTAAAAAGAATGTACTGTTCGTTCAATGCATCACTTGATCAATCGTATGAGTTACGAATTCAACTATTTCTGAGATTTTTTTCATAAAATTGTTACTACTGATAAATTTCTAGACATTCGAAAATAAGTTTATGATAGTAGTAAAGAAAAATTAGTTACAGTCACGCGCAAAATTGTTCATGTACCTACTAGATAAAAGATATGCATTTAAATAATTATAAATTATGTCAATATGTACTTTAAATAATTATAAATTCGTGAAAAAGAATCATACAAATATTCCACCATTGATTGTGAAGCTATCGCGAAGTCTCTACTTTGATCTTGAGTTCATCTTTTTTAAAAACGTTTTCACGTCATACAGTGCTTTTGCTCTGGAAAATGGTAAAAATTCAAACGTCTTTAAAATACTGAGCAAATTTTTAATGGCTAGATTCACTATGAAACATTAGTAGTGTTGTTTATATGGAATATACTTTCGATCAGATCAGCGAGTTAGTATAATTTCTGAAATGTCGCTGCGTAATACATTTATTCTTCTCGAACGAAGAGTACACTATCATTTTTGTTTATGGCGAATGTATACGTACTATAAATTAGTTTCCATATTTCTATGACTTTTACAAAGTGTTTGCAGATCTATGTTTACTTAACATTTTTTTCTTGTTCATACTAATGGTACAAATTAATGAAAACTGAGGTATCCTGTACACCCGTCTCTACATTTACGCGAGTCTCTTTTTACGCAGTAAATTGTAACACTAAGTACTTTATACGTATAAAAAACATCGGTAAGACAATACGTGATTTAAACATACAGATATTAGAATCAATCTTAAAAGTTGGTCTTAGCAACGATATATTATTCAATAGACAGTAAGTGAGCAATGTTTTTACCGCACTGTTTAGATTTATATTTTATGTTGTAAGTTTAACCCAGAAATGTTCAATAATACAAAGAAAAAGAAAATCTCATGTCTTTGGATGAAAATTGTACTGACAGACTCCATTTACGCGATTTTTATTCGTGTAAAATGAATCCACGTGGAACGGACAGATGTAATTGCTTACATTTATTTTAAGACATTTGATTAATTATTTTAATATATATATATATATAATAATTATATTTTAATATAATTATTAAACTAGTCGTTCCAATACACATCTAGAATTATAACCTCGTGCAAGTAATATTAATAAAATAACAAGTACTATTAGTAATTCAGTTAGCGATCGGTTTCCAGAGACAAAATGCAATTGTTTTCGGAAGTTTAAAAATAACAAATACAGAGTGTTCAAAAGTGATTTGACGTTCCAATTAATTATTACGTTTATTTTAAACTGCTTGTATATTGTATACTCGTAAATAATGAAGAATCTGAAGTATCGTGAAACATTCACTTGTGAACGGTGACATCAATTTTTCGGTGTTCATCTATTTGAAAGTCTATACAAATAAAATAGAAGTGAATAAGTACAAATACCAGATTAAACGTGGCAACGATGAAATTTATTTTATGGGAAAATAATTCTTGGTCGACACATACGCACGAAAGTATGAAACCAGAGAGGGAAGACGAGAAAGAGATTGCTCGGAGAGTAGTTCAAAGGCTGCGCTTGTTTCCTTCGCTCGTACGATACAATGCAATCCGTTGCAAAGATGCAACACGCCCAAGGCAGTGCAACGCAACTCGCGGTCGCTTTGAACTGTTCTTGCAGCTTGTAAGTATATGTATAGTATGTCCCGTGGTATCTCAGTCGCGTCCGGCCAAACACGAGAAGTCGAATTTCCTTCCAGCGCAGCGCGGTTGAAGTTTCGTCCCTTCTTCTTGGTAACTCGAGAACATTTTTTATTGTTTGATAACGAAATTATGTGATAACGGATAAATTTATCTTTGCTTTACTCAGAAGAAATCTTTTTGTAATAATAAAAAAAAAAAAAAATTAACAAACAAAAGTATTTGAGATCTAAGATATCCTGATTTGAATCTGTAATCTGTAACGATTATTGATAAATCGCGGAGTTTGTATTTACAGTTAGTCATGAAATTATTCAACGAAGATAAATTTCTAGTTTAGCGGCTTTACCCAATTTTGATTATTTCACTAGCTTGTAATTTTTTTAAGATAACTTTAAAAAAAAAAAAACTAAAGAAGACTATGCAACTTCTTCGATTTCTTCGGATTGATTTTTTTGTTTTAGTGACCAGAAGGTGAAGGTTTAGTGAAATTTTGGCTTAAGAGCCAGAATTGGAAAAAGTCGCGAAACGAAAAATGATTAATTTTGATCCTTTACATCCTTGAAAATATTGTTTTACATAAACTTGTGTATGTGCCGTGAATTACGAAAGTGTAAGTATTGTAAATTGTAAGTCTTGAATCTAAAAAGAATGAGTTTATATAATGAAGTGTATACTTACACAATAATAAAATATTCAAAAAATGGTGCTTCAAATATTCTTTTTAGTCGCTCTTATACATCTCATAATTTCATACAACGTATAATTTACACTTTCTTAAACCATATAAACGATGCATTGAAACAAAGCATTTCGAATTACAAAAAAAAAAAAAAATATCTTCCATATATTTTCACCCCATATTAAATACCCGTCACAAACTTACAATTCTCGTTCTAGCGTATGATTTACGTTATACCCATAACACAAGAATCTTATTTTGCCCACATTTCATGATTTAATCTGACAATTAGTGATTTGCCCCGAAAGCATATCTATTCTTTACTGAAATAAAAGGCATAAAAACAAGGACGAAAACATCATCTTCGTTAATAATTTACAGCAACTCCGTTTCTCTTGCGTTATGTGTCCAGTACGACGCGAGGTATTCTTGGAATCGTACTTATAGCATCGGCATTTATAATTATGTAAATATCAGCTTCGATTAAATCCAGAGAGTTCGTGTCTCTCCTTTTATCTTTCTCCATCTGGCCCCCGGTACACCGCGTTCTTTTTCCAGCCGCGAAAGAACGAATAGAGGCACGCGTGTTATTTCGTAATCTGGAATCGGGATCACGCTGTAAATTTCGCCGCTAATAACGTTACTGAAATTCCCCGGGACCACGCGAGTTTTTCCTTTTTCTACCATCGTCGCGTATATCTTAATCGGTTTGTTTATTCTTCTGTAGCTCCAGGACAATGGCCACGCGATACACAATGGTCGTGATCGAAGGCAGGAGAGAGCAAGGGACTAGAGCTAGAAGGTTAACGGTATCCGCGTGCCTCGCGGATCCCTACCTTCCTTTCTGCCATTGCGAAGGGCTGATATTTTATCGTCGCGCGCCTATTCAAAGTTGTACTCTTTGTTCGATATCAAATTATGGTTGAGTTATGCCTCGGAGACACAGAGCTGTTGTACTTTTCGCTCAATCCCTTTGTGCCGGGTTTCATTGATGTTACGATCTTTTGTCGCGATGCGGCAATAAGTTCCCTGGGTTTTTTTGAAAGTGTCTGTCAAGTTTTCGTACTTTGTGAAAAGTGTAAATAATATTTTGTTTGGACTTTGAAGTTTCGTCGTTCTGTCCATTTTGTCGTTGATTTCATCTGGTTTTCAAATGTGAAAATTTGAAGAACTTTTTTTTTAAATTATGAGTGAAATTTTCAAAACGTTGACTGTCACGCATGAAATAGCTTTTCAAATACTTCTTAATTAAAAATTCAGTTTTTAGAGTTTTAGAGTTCCTTTAACGAAGAAATAACTCTAAAATAATTTTATATCGGTAAAAAGTAAACGTACTTCGTGCATCATTTTCATTTTTCACCATTAAAATATTTTATTGTTAAAAAAATGTAAAATAAACAGTTGAAATAAAATCTGAAATAAACGATTAAGATAAAGTAAAGTAAGATAAAGTAAAAACAATGTGTAACGAACATGTCAAACAAAATTATGTATATGCAATAAATTATTCACATAATATTATATTCATTTACACATCTCTTTTATTTGTTATTAATTTACAGATTTCGAAACTTAGAATTTAAGAATTGTAAAATTTAAATACACTCTAAGAATAGTGCACTCTATTATATACAATATTTACAAACACGTTCATTAAAATTTTTTGCTGAAACATTTAGTTTGATTCCATACATACAATCAATTTCAATTCAGTTATTCAATTAACATTTCATGGCAAGATATTATGTGTAAGCAATATTATTTATATAAAAACTATTAGAATTATATATTCTGATATAATAGCCATACCTTTTTCATTATTTTAAGAAATATTTTTATTTATTTATAGTAATATTTAGGTAATATAAAAAAAGATTCTTTTTACGTTGCCCAGATATTAATATAAATAAATAAACATTTAAAAGAGATTCCTTTTTATATTTGTTACAAAACAGCATGCAATTTTTTTTCGATATGAATAGATTTTTGTCATTAATTAATACAATTTTATTTTAGAGTCAGATTACGTAGTAATTTTCGTTCATTTTTTCGTGTATTACTTCCTTAAATTTTGATATTAGTTTTATCATTATTTAAGCATCTAAAATTTTAATTTAGCAAAGTGATCAGATAAAAAGTAAGAAAATACTTGGAGATAGTACGTTTATATTTTTGAAAATCATAATTTTTCTAGTATGCTATTCTATACGTGCATTTTCATTAAAATTTTCGCATTATATCACATTAAGAATTTTCTCAAACTACAATTGTTGTAATATATCTATAAGATTTCAGCTGCAGCGATTTATTATTAATTTTTCAAACATAAGTCATTCCTTAAACTTTGAATCATTTAAACTTTAAAATTAAAATTTTCATTTAAAATGTATCATATGAAAAATAATCGTTACAATTCATTAAACCTTCACGCAACTGTTTTCATAACACAATTCATATTTTCTACAGTTCTTTTAAAATTCTTTTGAACAATCTGTCTTTTCTATTATTCATAAATTAAATTGCGAGTCATATTTCGTTGTTCTGTACCAACGAATCTTATAAAAGTAAATTATTACAAGCTATCAATAACATTATAAAAAAAAAACAGAAAATGTTATTCTTTACGCGCTTATTGTTTAATAAAAATTTTAGGTGTTTAATTAATGATAAAACTAATATCTAAATTTAAAGAAGTAATAAACGAAAAAATAAGCAAAAATTACTACGTAATCTGACTGTAAAAAAAAAATTGTATTAATTAATGAGATTGATAACAAAAATGTTATTCAGAAGAAATCAGAAAAATGTTATTCTAATCCTACAAACGTAATAAAACTCCTCAATAACAATCCTAAAATACTTTTCATTGTAACAATTTTGATAAAAACTTCTCGAAATATCTCGTTTAGATTTCTGTCAAACTACGAACTTGTAACTTCCAATATATGCACTGTTTGGTTCAGATCGTTGAAGCGAATGGTGTGCAGCATTTTCATGTGATTCGTGATCCCAGAAGGAGCAAAGATCAGGGAAAAGCATTACGTTGTTTCGCGGCAAACAAGCGGCGAATCGACGTGAGCCTATCTGACTATCTGGAAATCCATTTTCTTCTTTTCACAAGCGATCCAGAGATTTCGTGTTCGTCTGCTATCCTGCTCGTAACAATCACGGCCTCGAACACGTCCGTGGGCTCTCGCATCAGATCTGACTACACGTGTTATTATTCAATAACAGGTGTAATGCCAGCCAGCACTATGAGCCTCTAATCCAGCTGCGTGCGAGGCAAACAAAATATAGATGCACCACCGGATACCACGGTCGGGTATTATCTGCATACGTGAGCGTACTAGCAGTTTATACTTTGTATGTTGTATAATGTATGCATATAAGATGTCCTAGCTGAAAAGTTATTTTATTTTTATGATTTACGAATGATTGTTGCTTTTTTCTCAAATTTCTCTTAAGAAAAGTATTCTTTTATTAATGAACCACGAATGTTTATGTAATTCTATGCTTTTATGGATATAATTGTCAAAAGTGGGATTTAAATAAAAATAAAATATAATGGGAGGTCTACTTGGAATGTTTAATTATTCAAGTTTTCATTTTGTTTTTGTTTTGTTTAGTTTGATTTTTTGATCCAATCTTTGATTAATTTTGTGACTAGTAAGAAAAAATAGAAAAAAGAAAAATGTTTGAACATTCTCAATCTACTTGTCACTGTATTTTATCTTTTATTATCATAATTTTTTTTTTTAATGTGTGTCAGTTAAAATAGAATTTTGCAAAATATGATTTTTAATATCTAATATATTTAAAGAAAGATACAAAATTTTTAGTAAAGTAAGATACAAATAAATGTATATACAATATTCAAAATACAACCATAATATAACAAGTGCAGTGAGATCAACATTAAAGCTACATTATAATTTACACTTGATTTTTAAAGCAAAATAGTAAACTGCAAGAAAACTCTAGTTTGTTGAAAAAAAAATTGGCATGTTTACAAATTCAATCGATACAGTTGTTTCTTGTTTAATAAATTTATTATTAATTGTTAGAGTATTTATATTTTATATGCAGTAATGTAAGCTCTGAAGCAACCTTTTATATAAGATATATATTATCATATATTATCTAACATATATATTTCATAAAACTAATTGCAAATTTTCATTTTTAAATTAAATGAGTAAATTTAATAATTTTTATAACAATTGATTCAAGATTGGAGATCAGTTTTTTATAGAACAACATTTTTTATAACAAAGATTATTCATTAATGTTTTAATGTTACTGATCACGTAGTATAGTTATAAGTTAACATCTCATTTTATATTTTAGTTTATGATTACATATATGAAATATAAAAGATTTTCTTTCGACAAAAAAATTAAGCAAAAAATGATTTATGAGAATATTAAAAGAAAACTACAAAGTTATACAAGTGTAAGTGAGAAAACACATGAAAAGAGATACTATCGTCGAAAAGTTTGCAGCACTCATTAATTTCATATTCAAAAAATGAATAGATACATAATTATGTTAATCGTGACATAATCCACTGAAAAAATACGGTTTTATCCAAAATTAACAGAGTGCTTCAAACTTTTCGATAGTATAAGTATACAATGAACTCTCCATCTTCGAACGGTTTAATATGCAAACAGCTTTGAAATTCGAATTTCAGCAAATCAAAATTGCGAACGAAAATTCGAAAATTGAACAAAGAATTACATAATAGAAATTGGCAAGTAACGAATGAAATTTTATTCATTATTCAATTTTTGTGTTTTTTCTTAATTTAAATATTTTATTATTATATCAAATATTTATTAATTAAATTATATACCTAAAATGTTTTATATAGGTACTTAAAATTTTGAGATTCTAGAACAGATTAATTCAATTTACATTATTTACTATGGAGGAAATTAACTCGAAAATTGAAGTCTTCTTAGACTGATTTTATTTGGAGTTCGACGATTTTCTGTATGTAAATAACGAAAAGAAATTTACTGTGATAAAAAAAATTCAACGAAAAACAGAAAAAAAAGAAAATATTAAAAAGTAGTAGGAAAACCAAACATGATTAATATAGATTTTTCTGTGTCGTTAAATATAATTATTGATTAAAATAATTAATATCAATAAGTACTTAAAATAATCAAGTAAAATAATCAAATAATATAATCAAATATAATTAGTTCTTTAAAATATCGTTATAATATAAAATCTTCTGTGAAAATTCTTCTTTCCAGGTTCTTGTACTATTTTAAGTTAGCATTGAATTATAGTTTGTGTAAACCTTACATGCTTCGTCGTCATTATGGAAAATGGTCTACCGTGAACAGTAACAAGTTTTACGCATTCCTCCATATTTCCAATTTACTCTTTTTCTTTCCAGTACTGTCAGCCTCTTCAGGTTTCCTCTTACGCGATTCTCTTTCTCTAACTGCACTCTAGTGAATTCATTTGGATGGGAATTGCCAAGTGCATTTCTAAATTTGTTCCGTGTTTTTCTTTCACGATATGTTTACAATTATTAATGGCACATACAGATATATTAGTCGAAGCGTCATATTTGTAAACTGGATTCATTCTTCCCATATTGGCACAAAACAAATAATTTTGGGGGTGTTTGCTTGTGGATAGTATTTAAGAGGTGATAAATTTTGTAACAACACTAGGATGAACTCGGAGACGAACGATCGGAGTTTACGTCGAGAGTCTCTCAATAACTGCAAGCTCGCTACTTTTCCTGCTCTTAGGAAACCTCGGTTCCCATCTCCGGACATTCCTAATTGGCCGAGTCGTTTTTGGATTTCAACCGATTAGGTTTTTTCATGAAATTGCGCTGCCTACTCCTTGCGTTCGTAACGCGCTTTTTCCGAGAGTGGTACTGCAATTTCGCGATTTTCCTAATTTATGGCGGTGTAGCAGAGTTTTCTCTCCAAGTGTTTTACAAACGTAGGCCTGGGTAAGCTCTTGGAAACCTAGGGTTTAGGACGCTTCGCGGAAATGCTATTGTGACCGAATTACTAAAAACTTCGAGTGCAGATGTCTGGTCTTTATGCACTGTGAGAAATAAACTTGGCCTTCACAATTCAATAGCGTAGGCGTAGGTCCTAACCAGAGACCGAAACGGTATTACGGGTACCGGTAAAATACCGGTATTTTTAGGTTACTATTCGATTTCGGTTTGATGAAACCGAAATAGTGCGAGTACCGGTATAACGATGTTAAATTGGTAGATGTGTTTCGGTATAATACCGGTAAATAAAATATTAATATATTAGAAAAGGAGACAATGATTA